AAAGCAAAGGGAAGCTGAAGCAAGATCATAAGCACAGTCATGGTTTCACTTAGTGACCACTTCACTTAACAACCAAGTTGCTGGTCCCAATTGTGGTCACTAAACGAACTACTTGTATACAAAAATGGGAAAAGTTTGAGCAACTAGATATATTTCTGTACTTTGGTAATATGGTACCTAAAGTTGGGAAAAGAGATGAGGCATTTTAAGATGTGCAGATGCTGCTGGAAAAATAGTGACTAGTACCTGGTCTGTTGTGCAGAATAAATGTATGTCAAAAGAAGTAAAATATATCTTTATAAGAGTGCTTCTGCCTACTTCATTACATGGAAATGAGAGCTTGGTATGTCCGAAGAACCATAAAAGTTGAATACAGTTGGAATCAGGTACAGGTAGTCCTCACTTAATGACCACAATAGGGACTGGAAAATTGTTAGTTAAGCAGGGTGACTGTTAAGCAAGTCACCATGAGACCAGACACAATTTTATGACTGTTTTTACGATAGTCATTAAACAAATCATCCCAGTTGTTAAATCACCACAGTCATTAAGCGAATCCAGCTTCCCCAATGGCCCTTTTTTTGCCAGAATTCGCTTACCGACCATGTGATTCGCATAACAACTGCAGTGATTCGCTTAACGACCGTTGTAAAAAAGGTCCAAATCGTGATCACATTACCACGGGGGGTGATGCAACAGTTTGCTATGGTTGTAACTGCGAGTACAGGTTGTAAAGCACTTTTTCTGAGGCTGTCATAACTTTCAACCTTCATTAAATGAACATTCGTTAAGCAAGGACTACCTGTACTTAAGAAAATAAGAAGAAATAGGATCAAGAATGAAGGGGCTCTGAATGAATGTGGATTGAATACAAAAGTGATGATTGAAATGCATGAAGGAGGTATGAATGGACTGAGTGGAAGAGAAAGACCAAGAAAGTCCTGAATGGAAGGATTGGATGAGATCCAGGAAAAATAAGTGAAAAGTTTAAAGAACAAAAATCACTGTATTATGTGTTGAACATGGTGGAAGCAAGAACAGAAAAGTGTGGTGAGATATAGTGAATGGTATTGATGTAAAGTAGCTTTAGCTATGTTTCCTTTTACTTTTACGATTTCATGCCTTTAAATTTGTTTTTGGCTTACTATTATTTATTTACCTTGAAAGGGAATAGCTTGATGGATACTGCTGTTGGTTTTATACTGTTTTATTATTGTTTCATACTGTTTTATTGGTTGTAAGCTGCCCACAGTTGTTATAAGATGGGCAGCGATATAAATGTTATTAATTAATTACTTATGCATGCATGCATGTATGTAGGTATGTAGAAAAGAGCCAGTTTGAAAAAAAGATCTGATCATTGATAGTTAATTTATGAGCCTCTTGACAGTCAGATTGAAATTTCTCTTTATTTTGTTATTCTTTTCTGAAGGTTTCCCAGTATTCTAAAAAAAAAAAAAAACTTCTTAAAACTAAATGCAGATAACTTTTCTCAAGGGCAGATCTATTGTTTAATTTTTTATTTTCATTCATGGGAACCGTTGCTATGGGTCATTCTTGTCAGTGAACTATATAATCAGAAGAAAATTTGCTCATCTACCTACAAGTCAAAATGAAGGCAAATTCTGACATAATCTTGGCCTCATCTGACCTACTATTTTCCCTTTAATTTCTACAATTATGCCCACTTCTCAATAGAATCCCTAAAATAGCTTACGAGAAACTTTTTGAAAACAAAAATTAATGATGCAAATTAACATTGAGGGAACCCGCTACAAAAAAGGTAGCAACGCTTAAAATCGATTTAATTTCTTGTGTCTTGTAACATAGAGACCTGTCACAATTAAAATATAACCACCACCACCCCCCCTTTGGAGCACATCTAGCATCTCTCCTAGAGCAGTGAATTTCACAACAAAGTGTTACTATCCAAATTCCTTCAGTGATCAATTTTGCTTCAGCTGATGAGGATACGTTTATCCTGCTTTCAATCCATAATGCTTATTAACCATGGAGATATGCAGACATAAATTCTACATGTCTCCTTAGAATATTTCTTTTTTGTGTAATGCAGATAAAATATCCAGAATCTGATAGAGATGCTATTTTGCCTGCTCCATCATTTTGTCATCAAATCAGCACTGATGAGTTTGAACACCAAAAAGCAAATTGCTGTCAAGGGCCACCAGCAAACTTGTTGGAAGAAATCACAGGGAATATGGAAATGTCCATCAAAGAAAAAAAGAAAAAGTTGAAACAGGTAAATGAAATTATTGAATTTTTCTTCAGTTTCTCTTCATTTCTTTTTCTGAAACATTGAAGTAATTCCCTTTTTATAGATCAGTTTTATAGATTTAGGGAAACAGATATCTGTTCATGTTAATTAGCTGCTTTGATTTATATCCCATCTTTGCACCCAGCTTGAACTGTTAAGGCAGGGTACAGGCAGTAAAGTGCAAAATACACAAATAAAATTCAAGGCATAAATTAAACCAGTGCAAACAAACAATAAGAATTAAAAGCTGGTGAAAGAGAAGTGTCTTGAGTGCTCTTCTACAGGAAGAGACAGTGGATGCCAAGTACAATTCACTATCTCCTTTGCCATGAACAAATGTTTTATAGCAAACATGTTGCCACATTTAAGAATGAATGTAACCAAGGTGTGAATAATTGTTACTAAATCTGACCAGCTGACAAATGGTTGCAGCTGGCACGCTAGCCATAATTATGCAAATGCATTCCTTATCACCATCTCACTCCTTAAGCTTAATAGCTGTGTTCAGCAAGCATTCCCAGATTGTGAAATTGTTCTTTCAACAGGAGGACCACCCCAGTGAAAACTGACTAAACTTCAGTCCCCCAATTTCCTATTGACCAGCAGCACCTTCATCTAGTCTGAATTTAATTTCAGAATTGTTCTCCCTCATCCAGCTATTTCTGTTCCCTTGTAGCCTTTTTACTTGCTCCAGGAAGTAGTAATAGCAGCTCATTGGGTGCACTACAGTGGTACCTCTAGTTACGAATGCCCCTACTTACGAATTTTT